AAAGAAACTCGCAGCACGTAGCAAAACTATTTTGGTTTAATTCAGTATTTCTGATTCTTTTTACAAACTGTACATGAATACAAAAGCTTTTTTCAGTTAGTTATAGATTACATAATTCATATTATTTTTTTCATTGCTGTTCAATCGYTGTCTCAACATCTTAAATTAAATTAACTAAATAATATCTCGTAATATATGAATTTTGAGTGCTGCCTCACTTCAATACAGACATTTTCCGAGTTATAAGGGCCTAGATGCGCGTGAAACTATAACGTAAAATATAATGTTTCCATACGCTTGTTTGCGATATTAAATGAGGGCGGTCGGAATGAGTCAAAATAACACTGATTCTGAAATATTCTGCAAAAATACATATTAATAYTAATTACTATTCCCATATATTATTTATATATCTCAACTTTTGTCGGGCAAGAAAATAATTTTTATAAAATTGTATAATTCTTACGTTATTCAGTCATTACCAATTTATTTGGGTGGTGTTAGCTAAAATTCGCACCGTTCAGCAACACACTGCAAGGGCAATAATCAGTTGGATAGAACGTCTTCTTTGCTTTGTTGATTCGTTTAGCAGCCTAAAATAATAATAATGGACTTATTACGTATGAAAAAACAAYGAGAAGTGTTTCCAACTTTCATGGAAAGAAACCTTTTTCATCAATTACACATTTTGCTATAGCAGCACAAATAGTCGTCTTTCTGTTCCTTTAGCTTTCGGATTTAATTCTATATTAATTGATTCAACACTGACAATACGAAGTCATAAACGCGMAATGAATTACGGTTGGAGGTGAAACGGGTCACAAGAACTTAAAAACCACAACAAGAAAGCAATATGATGATGATGATGATGACAATGATAATAATGATCATGAATGACACATTATCACSCAGCATTGCTATCAGTGCAGTCAATACCTTAATTGCCAAGTTCTTAGAATCACAGCGAACTAAAGGGTTATCTTTAGGGTTTGGTGAGGGTAGAGACAGTCTTTGCATACCATCTATACGCATTACCAACTCAAGATAATTCACATCACCTACAAAACATGCAATACAATCAACAAAATATAGTAAAACGGAGCAAAACGAAACGAAACAAGGACTTGCCATCGTCTTTCTCCTTCGCCTCAAAGAGTTTCTCAAGTGARACACCAAGAACTATGTTATCAACGGTCGGCAGGCCCACAGTCATCAAGTAAATTTTTTTACTTGTGATAAGAGCGTTTAGTTTATCTTTTGGATTAGTATAACGCAGTCTCAAACARCAAATAAATCTGCAAAAGTAATATTTACACTTGTGACAAATGTGCGCATAAAGCTTTAGATCAGTTTTTACTGATCTGGAGATATCAGTAATATCTGATTTGAAGGATCAAAATTTAATTATTAATTTGATAATTTCAGTAAATATTCTTACTCTTCCTCTGTTTCTGTGTCACACATATTCTGTTTTAGCCTTTTAAGGAATTCTTGACCCTTCTGCTGTTTTTGTGTTTGTTGAGATGTAGCTTCCCAGGTTGTACGTGTAGTTATACAAGACATGCTAAACGAAGATTGYGCATCTTCTTCTTGTGCGTTACAGTCACGCAACGACCTGTCACACGGAGGGGTGTGACAAACGTGTGAATTCTCGGGTGATACAGGTCGTTCAGACAAATTTAATTCATTCTGTGAAATATTAACAGATATCATAATATAGTATAATAATAATTTAATGAATTCAGTTTTATTCTTACGTATCTTTCGTGAGAAAATATTTGATATGTAGTGTTAATAACATGTTGCATTACACTCAAATAGCCATGCGTTACGAAATGTATTCCATTTATACAAATAACAATGTTTTTTTTCCGGCTGTTTGTTCTTTGAACTCTAAAAATTCTATGGGTGCAATCCAACTTCCAACTTCAAATACCGATGCTCTAAAAAAGTGTTTTCATCATACTATTGGAACCTCCGCTCATCAACCTATCAGTAGCTTTGTTTAAATAGTTATCACTTACACTAAATGGAGATATTTTCTGTTAACTTAAACAAATAGAACTGTGTTTTATATCACAATTGAAATACAGCCCAAATCAGCACTGAATATCTCATCCGTGAARARACATCAATCACCCGTCGACCACCTGTTAAATACACATTTTCATCGTTGTAAACCCTGTAAGGTTGAAGTATAAATACCTGAGGWTGTGGTYCACTGTTTTGAGGGCTAAAAACCCATCCACCTAAACTGCTTGACAAACTGCTCAGTAAAAATGGTTGTGTTCTGTCCAGTTTTTGTTCTTCTACGGGTTTTGGCGTCGCGTTTTCGAGCGACTTCGGGATTTTGGTAGGCGTTCTTACATATGCAGACCACGAATCGGCAATCTGCTTAAATGGAAAGAAATTCCACATTTTATCGCAAGAGTTGCTGAGTACAGCATTAGAAGAAAACAATTATTGTATTAGTGTCCTTTCCTAGAGACTACTAAATAGAGATTCTTATTTAGAAAGCGTTGGATGTTAAGTTAACCAAGCTAGCAATTGTAATAACAACACTGTGATATGGGGTGATGTCACGTGACACTGTACCTTGTAGTACGACTCGCTCAGGCCATTCCTCACGTGGCCGACGAATCCCATGTAGTCTCCATTCTCTCGAAGCTCTGCCAGTCCCTCTGCAATGTTGTCTCTGAGTCCAGTTACGTTACCAAGAAGATGTAGCGAGCCTAGTATCTTAGCGGACTGGCGTCCAACCTCCTATATTATGTGAACAATGAAGTAATGAATTGACGGCATAAAAGGATGATTAAATGAAATACTAAATGACCGAGTGGATACATAAAAGAACATATGTAAAGGTTTTAGTTGGTTTTATTCAGAATTTTACCAATGAAATAATTGTATCGTATTGTCATGTTTCTCTACACCCATCCATTTATTCTTGTTGTGCTCACCTTTAAGTAATGTCTTTTGAGGTCCCTAGCAAGTCCATCAAAAGATCTGTAATAAATGCCTCTACGTAGAAAACTTTCTGTAATAAAATAAATTRTGTACACCATTATCGCAGGCTAAAGAATGGTAACAATAACAGTGCCAACAGCAACCATCAATAACAATCTGGCCAGCAGCAACATCTTAAACTAAACGCAACAGTAAACGAAAAATGGGACCAGATCTTACCAAAGTCTAGTCTGGCATTTTCAACGCAAGGAGGMAAGCCATTAGGAATACCCAGATTCTCTTTCAATTGTATAAGGTCTTCTGGCAGTTCTTGCTTAGGGGACACACAACACACCACGTTRAAAGCATTCATTTCCAGTCTCTCAAAGAAGATTGAAACAYCATTATCAGTGGCTGAGGAAGACTGGCCAGAGTCAGTGGCTGATAAACTTGATTCTCTGTAAATTAAAAGTATGTCCAGTTTAACTTAGGGAATGGTGAGGAAGCAAAAATATGTAAAGAGCTAGCGTTACTTTTTGATCTGATCTTGTTCTCCCCAGAGCTGATTTTTAGTTGTAATTCTGCAGAACACTAAGAGCTTCAGTAAAAGTTCTTCTTCAATGGTTATGGTRAAGTCTGCTAATTCGCCATAAATTTGCTGATGATCAAATGAGAACATAATACAATTCATCAAGTATTTCAGACAATACTAGTAAAATGGTATGTGAAAGATTGAAAGGGAAATCCATATCAGGAGTTGTTGGGATATTTTGAATATACTACAACTGAGTATGCAGTCTACATCACTGTCGATCACTTGCTATTTTTGTGCAACATAAGAAATTGTTTGGTAGTGTATGAGATAGCAAGACAATCAGAGTTTAGTAGTTTGTATATCAGTGCAGTCGACTCTTACCTGAAATGATACACTTCGTTTTTCAGTAGTAGCTTCTTGAATGGCAGTAACATGTATGGATCTTGTCCGTTGTACTCCATCAGTTGGTGATATGTGTAGTGCAAGTACATTGTTTATGTGGTCTTCAACCTGGGAAGTGAGTGTAAGAATTCACAATTTTAAAAGACACTGAGAATGGTAAGAGGACAAGGAGGAGATCCTAAAGCAAAGAAGGTTGAATAAGATAGCATTCTTCCCACTCTGGMCTTGCATTTAAATTACTTAAATGGACACTTCTGCTGTGTATGTCACTATTCCACATCTCATTCCAACCTTGACTGCCTACATAACTCTCTCCCTGGAGAATGTCCTGCATTTTTTTCTTAGCACAGAGCAACCTGAGAACTGTCTACTTATATAGCCAATGAAAAGGAGAACCGAACGTCTCATACCTCAATAACTTTCACAGTAAAGTCACAGCTAAGGTTTTCAGTATCATGAGTGCACTGAAGCTAAAACAAAASGATTGGATGAGATATAAGGTGAAATTAAATAAAAATTACAAGAATGAAACCATACCATAATATCTTCTAGTGTGCCGGTTGCAAGCTTCTCAAACACATCAAGTTCAAAACATAAATTAACTCCTTCAAATGTGGAAGATATCTAAAAGAAGGATTTAAATATGAATTAATATGACATCAATAATTAAGTGCTAGGTATTTATTGATTGAGTGTGAGTGTAACAGTTCAAAATATKYTYAAACTATACCTGAGCCCTGGGACAGTATTCTTGCATTGCTTGTTTCATTGAGTCGCCAAGTTGAGACAGGTTGGCTTTGCCTTTATCTTCAGTAAGGAATGAGTACTCCTATGACAGGAATATAATTCATGTGATTAAACAATACAAAACAAAACAAAACACATCAATAAAGAAAGCTAACAAAAGAAAGACAAAGTTAGAGTCTACCTGTTTGAGCTGTGTAAAAACTTTATAATAGTCTGGTCGTACAATCAAGCAGAGGATTTCATTGGACTCGGCATTAAATATCAAGCATYGTTTATAAACATGACTAGTCTGTGGGATAATAATAATGTACAATGTTACTTATTGAATACTAGAGTAGGATTGATAGGTAAAGTTACATTACAAAAAGGATAAAAACGAAATGGATAAAACTTAAAGTTTATAAAACAATGTGTCATATATTACAGTATACATACATTAAAAGAGCAGCGCCATGATGCCGTAATGAGATCATTACCAATTATGATACAAGGATCAACCGCCGTAACATCAATGACTGAGACACCTTGAAGACTTACTGTTCCACTACAGTGACACTGAAAATGAGATGCAGTTAGGAAATCATCTGTCATTTTGCCTATTTAATGATGGGATAGAATTTTAGTACCTGGCAACAATAAGAATAATTCACAAATCATCATTTAATAGAGAATCATACTGGAGGAAGATGGATGATGTATTATCTTGTCAAAGTTGAAAGAAATGCCACAATCTTGAAATGATTTAGTCATATTCTTGGTAATACTTGCAAGAMTTAGAAAAAATGACTGGAGCTCAATGTAAAGCCAAACTATAGTCTGATATTATCRATGGCAGAATTATAATATGACCACAGCAATTTAGTAAGTACCTTTCCAATCCAATAGTTGGCTGTCACATCAAAAGAAACATTGATAGCTGCAATCTCAGGGAACTCTGAGGTACCTAGTGACAAYACCAGATCCTCTGTAGAGATTTTCACCTGAAGTGATAAATTTAATTATATATTAAAAACATTTAATGAAAATGTACTACATGTAATGTGTAATCTAATGAAGGTAAAAAAATAAACAAATGAAGTAATAATAATATAAAAGATCAATGACATATATTAAATCCATACATTTACCTTTGATAACTGGGCATTATTATAAGGTGACGCAGCCTTTTCTGGTTCTGGGTGATGATCTAGAATTCAAAAGTATCAACAGTTAAYTAGTAGAAACAGATGTAACTTACAATAGTGAATGGATTATTACCAACTACAATAACACTCACTACCTATGTATAGTACAAATTTTCAAATAACTTCATTACATAATCAACATGAAACCTCTGCAGTCAAATTGACTAGATTATCTCCTTCCTTTTCAAAAACAAAACAAAACTAAAYTAAATTGATCAAACCATGTCTCCTTACTGAATTCTTTATCCTCATTATCCATCAAGATGCGCTTATACTCATTTAAAGTCCATAATGAACTCTTCAAGTTGCTTCGAGTGATTCTAACTCTTGCACCTTGGAATCTGAATGACAACTCATTTGGAGAATCTTTAGGGAATACAAGCTTAAGCCTTAAGCATGACATCTCAATTAGCTGAAACAATATCAAATATACAATGACCATTCAAACATATGTAAGATCATTAAAACAGTAATTATACATGTACCACATAGATACTTGCTGTCTATCTTTGTATTTTAGGATAGTACAATGTTTTTAACATTTGATTGTTTTCTCAGGAATACTGTAAAGTGATGAACTTGTTATTTTATCAAATTTTCCTTTACATGTATCAAAAATTTCCTACTGTGCAAAATCTTCACTTGTATTCCATGAACCAACATTAAATAACCAGTCAGAACACACTATAATTATGTGCTTGAAATATAAAAGAGAAAAACCATTTATAAGTACATGATCTCTATGGCTTGAGGTACTTCGTCTTCCTTTTAAATTACAATTAACTTTATTTGCTCTTCCATTGATGATAAAAATTCCTGTGCCTACTGTAAAGACTGCTTCTGCTGCTTTGATCTAAATACAAAATAAAGAAACAAACATTAGTTGAAACTGGGAGTGATATTAAGAACTATGCCAGCCAAGTCTTTTGTAAAAAGCAGAGTTCAAGATTTTCATTTTTTCTTTTGCAAAAACTGGCTCTCAACTACTGTTGCCAATAGTTCAAATGAGGTTGGAGAATCAATGGGAACAAAGGATTTTGATATGTTGTTTTGTTCATGTTTGGAAAATTGTTTACACAGTTGGAGACAGCTAAAATGGTTCCTCTCTTATAAGATGTCTAACAGAATGGTATTTATTGGTGTGTGCTATGTGTATTCTTATGTTATGCTGCTGTATCAATTATACAGTCACCTTAGTGGAGASAAGTACTGAGAGAGTACTACTCTTTGTCTCAGTCTGGAAATCATATCCAGACCAGAAAACCCAAAGTCTGATGTCTTTACTACTACTATAGCATCACAAGTACAAAATCCATATCATAAATTAATACCTTAAAAACAATCTTTGGAGACCCTTTTGCAGTTTGACCATTTTTCTTACACTTTAATATTATTTTACCACTGGTTGCCTGAAGCCTTTTTATTTGAAGATTTATCTAGAACATTAATCAATATTTTACTTAAATTTAGGCAAATACTCCCAAACATGATCTGACAGAGTTTAAAATACAATAATTGACATTTTGAATTATTTCAATAAATAATTTTTTCTTACCCTATTTTGTATCTCAGTGTTATGCTCAAGACCAGTTGATGTTGAGTGCAGTGGAAAAATCCTCCAAAATAGAGTGAAACTGAAAATAGCTTCAAAAGAGTTGGCCACCTTGAGGAAAAAAAACATGGTTTATCAAATAAGAAATTCTTTTATGCAACAAATGCTATTTGCTCCTTTCTTAATTTGATTTACTACACTTTTATAATTATAAAATATACCATATGGAGGTTTGTGACTTGAAGTTTGAAGGACAATGATCTGAGAAAGAAATAAACAATTCAAATCAATTAATGAATTAATGAATGACTGCATGATCACAATAAACATACCTCCACTCTGAGAACTCTAACTTCATAGTCAGCTTCTCTGCATTCTGAAATGGTGGTAACAATGTCATCAAAAAATTCAAACCAGTTTAAAAAATTTCAAACCAAGGCACATTTCAAACCACATTCACATACACTACCTGCTCATAGGGGATAATCAGTAAAGTATGATTGTAAACACTTACTACGAAGTGGAATTGATTTGTGACAGCTTAACTTTAATCAACATCATATACTTACAAGTAAAACACTATTTTTCCATTTCACTACAACATTGTATGCTTGTACAAATCCAATATCTTCTAAAGTAATACACAAATGAGGCAACTGATAAAACCATCTTGTAATAATCCAAATATAGACATTCAAGGTTCTGYAGCATGAATATTAATCAGTTAACCAAACAATTTTCGACAATTATATATGTGGGTAATGGACCCCTTGAGTTCATGGAATTCAGCCAGCAAAAAACAGTTGATTTTAAAATAGCTTGGCCTAGATGGTGATTCATTGACATTACAGGGTGCCTATACATCTAATCAGGGTTGTCAAGGAGTCGGGTAATATTGGACCATACATATCCTGAGACAACACAATTTTTTATTCACCAGTGTCAGTCTATGCATCAAACAGTATTTAACACTAACTGCTCAATACTCCAATTTCGAGTTCTGGTTTGCTCTGTGTTAGCCTCAAAACCAAGTAACATATTCTTTTGTTTCATTGATAGCTCGAAAAAACGCATGGAATTTGTGAAGAAACACAATAAATTTGATTTGAAATCTCACACTTCTACGCTCACAATAAGGAATATTTTGCGCACAAATGAGGCTAACACAGAGCATTGGAGAATTCGAAACTGGAGCATTTTAGCGTTCACTTTTCAATCTAAAAAGCCATTGAATTTATAAGCGTTTCTCAATTACTTACCGAATCACAATTTCCTTCCACAGTCCAAGACACCAAAGAAAGATGTCAACAAGTAAAAACATGACGATAAAACGATATCTACTGTGAGCAATATAGAGAAGAGTATTCATAATTTCTACAGTTTTTTATAGTCCAAGGTTCATTTTGTTTCAGACAAACGCAAATACTTTGAAAGAAACTTTGCGCCGATACTTCGGGTGTACTATTTTACCTAAAGACCAGCGATCACGAGCGACAAAGGATTGGATAATGAAACCATGTCCACTTCAACGTCCAAAGGTCACTCTTGATCAACACTCGTGTGATTCCAAAAATGTACATGTCCATCCATGGATCGTGGATTAGCCGGAATGATACATAGTGTTCCAAATTTATTCAACCGGTCGAAGTTCTTTTTAACTTCGCACAAACAACATACATGCACCTAACTAATAAACTTTGCATTACTAAACTTTCAACTCGTCGGGTCCAGGAAACTGAAAAACACAGGCATCCCGTCGACCCGAGTAAAAATATCGATTGAAGACACATCCACTTATTTGGTATTACATGTAAAAATATAAAATTATATAGAAAGTTAATCTAAATACACTGTTTGCTTTGATTTTAAGCACAGAATTTGGATTTTCTGAGCAYTATACTATTATATGTGTAAACTAAATGTCGATGAGCATTCGTGTATTCTTCGGATCGTTTAGGTTCTTAATTTGGTTGGAATGGTCCGGCAGTCATTCGAGTTTGATAGTTTGAACACAAGCGGGAATGCCATCAAARTAAGCTGTAAAGCAAGTAGCCCTCTATCATGTGAAGTTTCTGTTGAACCTTTATGGAAAAGCAAGCTACGATGGCTTTATTATGTAATACTGACAGGAATGATGGCTTGGGTTTTGGAAAATGTGTGGACTTCTTGGAATAACGGGGTAAATGCCTGGGAAACTGCATCTTAATGTTTTTATTCATATCAATACGGTTTGTCTGTTGTCAAATATGATACAAGCCTTGATCATTTTTTAATGATTTTACACTTGATATTAATTTATACTTTTAACTCTGCACCAGTGAAGGATGACATGCAGGGAGACAGGAAAGGTCTCATTTATTGTATATATTCACAAATTAGGTTTATCATCCACTATTCTTTTCATCCATCTGTTCATTCCCACCCATTTATTCATTTGATCATTCATTTATGTGTGTTATTGTTGCAATTATTTGGCCATTTTAGCTGATTTTTTTCATTTGAGTAATCATTTTATGGAATATTAGACTTAAGCTTAAATTCATATATGTATTCATCAGTTTATTGATTCGGTCCATGAGGTCACTTATTKATTTAATTTAATTTCCACTTTTCAAAAGTTTGTATCACATAGCTGGGTGGCCACTGCAGTCACAAGTCTCTGTATTTGTGGTTTATGGATGAAGTGTAGCTATTTCAAAGCAATAAAAGGTGAATAAAACTCTCTTATAGTCTTTGTATAAGGTCCTCTAYGAGGCTGGTGTTCATCATAATCTTATCCCCAATAACAAATCAGACCACTTTTGTCTTGTGTATGCATAAGCCTAAAAATTGAAGTATTTACATGTAATAACAATCAACATTTGMTAATTTTAGAAACTGTAACTATAATCAAGAATATTGGAATCCAAATAAAGACAACATACAGCTCTGGTAGAGAGTCATCCATGTTTGTGGACCACAAATTGATTGCAGATATCATTATAAATGAAGGAATTACAATGGTAACAACCCTATGTTAAGGCAATACTATGGGAGAGTTAGTTTAATTTATTAAGTTGACATCAGGTCGCATCCACATTTGACACTTTGTCTCTCCACAAGTCTCTTTTCTACATGCTTCTTGGCCCTTCATTGTCCAATCAAGGAATAAAATAATACAATACTAATATATTGAGCCAAAATCTCATCTTAATAAAAAAAATAAGAATTTGAGCAGTACAATATTTAATAATAAAAGATGTGATATTTATCCTATTGACTGCTGTTTTTATCTATGTTACAGCATCAAGTAATATACTACTTGGCAATTCTACAAACCTCAGATGAAACATCCAAAAAACCTAACAAGCAGCTTATTCCTTTGTTTATGGTAAGAACAAAAACTCTAYGAAGCTGTATATCAGTCCTGTCTGATATTCCTGTCAATATATTTCTATCAATACACTGTCAGTCCTGCCAATTTGCACGAAGTTACATAACTGTGTAAACTTAAGTTTAGTTTACGTAACAACATACTTGTAATTATCATCCCACGATCACTTTGTCATGAAAACCAAATTGAAATTTATCCCATTTAAATTTTGCCGTGATATCAAAACTATTTACAAATGTTTTGTTTCAGTCATTTTATCCAAGGTKTGATGCTTTAAAACCTGTCTACCATTTCATTAGAAGTGTKTTATTGGATGAGGAATTTGATGAGGCCTTCCTACAAGCAACACAAAATACTAAACATACAAGCAAAAGATGACACAAACAACCTTGGTGCGAACTTGCCAAACATGGAATACTGTACAAGTCAACAATGATTCTAAAGTAAATACTGGTGTGCTAATGTGAATAGCAATGCAGAGAAGTAGCCAAGATAGGCACACAGTGTTCAGGCTCCTCCCCATGTAAGATGGAGGTCCAAGACCAAAACCAGAATCCAAATCAAATAGGAAGAATGTGCAAATGTAATGTTCTACATTTGACAAGCACCATTCTTAATTTTTGAATGTTTATTACAACCTTCTTGGTTCCTGCACCTCCAGCACAAATTTTGACACCTAACTGTGATTTTTCAGAAAGCTAACTTTTGAATTGATCAAACAAAGTTATTTGAAAATGTTAGTTTACAGCCCCAAGTATGTTGTTTTGTGCATCCTTTCATACAATACCCTGTTTATGGTCCTCACAATCARCTTTAACTATAAAACTTGGTGGTTCATCTAGCACCGTGSTGTTCTCTTCGATCACTTCCCTTAGAGTTGTTTCTTGTAGAGGAGCTTTTGGCCTCAAAGGGATATCAAGGACATCAACATCTTCGCAGAAGATCTTTGTCAGGAAGAATTTTCCAAGTATGCGGCGAAGAGCCAGAGAAATTAAAAGAAGCAACAACATGATAACTGATGTTGCATCATGGCAGACTGTGTTTGCAGCTGAGTTTTCATTCTTTAGCAAGAATTGATGTGATATGTTGAACTTGATTTCAATTTGTTTGAGACTRCATGTYGGTACAGATACAAGCTTGTATGCTGCAACAATAGTCCCCAATGCAAGAATGACATAACTCTCAATTGAGTAAATCAGCAAAGTGATTTTATACAGAGCAATTTTCCATCTGGAACTGCCATCYTTGACAAACTTTGGCACAAAGTTTAATGTCAACATGAGAGCTACTGAGGTGATATGTTCCAACATGTATGTTGTGTACATTGTGGTTCTTTTCAGCTCAATTTCTCCTAAAATGGTTATYAAGTCATAGATTATTATTAAAATGAGAATGATGCMAAGTTTGTAAAAGTACATTTTTCKAAGAAGAAATTTAGCAATCTTCATAAGGCTTGGGAACTCTGGCTGTCGYCTTGCATATAGGATGAGAAACACGGATGTAAAACTGACCAGTATCAGCCAAAATGCAGAAATTAATTCTGGGTTTTCAAAGCGGTTGAATTTCTTGCACTGAACTCCCATTTTGAACTCTCTGAAGAAACAATCACACAGCCACACCGTATATAACACCAGCCCAATAATTCGGCAAGAAATGASAATAATAATGAATCCCAAAATTAACCTTGGTGTACAATGATTGCTCATCATTTCTGTGATATATTTCAGGGACATGATATTTCCTGTTTAAATAAGACAGTAATTATGGTATAGTTAGTATAGTAAAAGATTGAAAGATGTTGTTTTATACTGAGACTGAGATGGTAAAATGCGATATGAAAGTGAATTTGAACAATTTTTTAAAGATCAAGGGTCACACAAGATTTAATTCTCACTGTATTCTTGATATTTTACGGGACTTGCTCACCCGCCAACTTGGCTACCTGTGCCAAAACCGTCACGGCGTCAGACGTCACGCGCTGATGATCCCGAAAAATTACAACGAAATGTATGGAGAACAAAAACTGAGCTTACTCGCTCCATAGATTAACCAAGTCCTTAAAAACTAGCCAGTTAACTCTTTTTTTAAGTATCTAACGTTTGCAATTAATCTTTCTTTCAGAATTGGAATTAAACGGGAATTGACTCGTTGTATCTAGTATTTTGCGAGACTATTCCCACCATGGTGCCATGGATAATAAAGCGTTAGTTATAAAGGCTGCAAAAACGTCCTTCATCTATTTGGTATCAAAACATATTTACCTTGTGTTACACAGCTCTTTGTATAAGAATTCAGAAATCGACAGCAGCAGCAGGCCAAGTTAGAAATACTTCCAAGTAGAAACACTTCTAAGAAATCACGTTCCTTGAATATAAATTCAAATATAGAATAACACAGGGAACCGGAACTAATATGTTTTGTCAGGCCGTGCCCTCACCGGGGACCAGCACCAAAAGACAAAAAAACTGACTTCTTGGTGTATTTCATCTCGAACTGACACCGTACTCTACCGTTACCGGCCCCACCACTTTAATATGGGAGTGCCCCCCTCCCCCCCCGGACGGTAGTTCCCCCAAACTCCGTTTGTTCTCCAAAAAAGTACAGCTCTGTTTACATCCTTTCATTTAATGATAAAAATCAGTTTTACAATATCGGTATAGTGGTGTTCAACAAATTAAGTCCGTGTGAGTTGTGATATTTTGAAAAACACGAATAAAAGCCCCACAAAAATTGAACGAATTCTTCCCTCCGCCTGCCATTGAATATACAATAAGTATTTGAAATCATTAATTGTTCAGCATATTCAGTGTTAACACCCATATTCTTACGTTAAATGTGCCTTTAACCATATAGTTTCTGAATTTCCTCAGATCTTTTACTAGTATTTGTGCGTTTTTTTGGATGCATTCACTATTTCAAGTACACGATCTATGCTTTAATTCACTCTACAGCGCATTGAAAAGTGCGCGGACAAGAGGAAAAATAAAGTTTCTTCCATATTGACCATTGTCGTTAATGATGCTTAAAACGTAGCAACAAGAAGCTGGTAAAACTCGCTAACGTAAAAAGCTGAGGACGTTCTAAGCGAAGTCTAGCAAAGTGGAAGATTTATTTTTCGATAATATTGGAGGATTATTGCGAGAACCTGCAATATGATGATGACAAATACAAACAACAAAACTGCATAGCATCATTAATACTAAAACCCCAGTTTTCTCTTACGAGTACAAATTGTTTTGCTGCGAGAGAAAAAGTGGAGAAAACCCCACAACAACACAATCACTCAGAAGTCTTTGTATCAAGATTGTTATGTTGTTCGTATTTGCCAGTCCTTGCTTACCGGGGTTATTTGAATTAGTAACACGTGGATCTAAGATCCCCGGCCTTACTGTTCAAAATTTAAAACACTACTATCGATCCTGGCAATTTTATAATTGTTTGCGACCTCCAAAATATTCCATTTGGTACGTCAAGCAATCATCGAATTGGAGGCATTCCTGGTATTATCTGGACACGGTTATTTCTGAAATCCGCCACGCAAATATTTCCATCAGGCGTCAAAGCGAGACCATGGGGGTCGTTAAGCTGGCCTTCCCCGTCACCTTTACTGCCAAACTTCGACAAGAATCTCCCATCACTAGAGAAGATTTGAATGCGATGGTTATCACGGTCTGCCACGATGATGTGGCCATTTTGCATGACAGCAACTCCTGTTGGTCTCTGTAGCTCACCGTCTTGATTTCCCTTTCGGCCAAAATTGAATAGGAATCTACCACGTGAATCAAAAATCTGAAAGCAAGATAATACTCCAATCAGTTGTTCGGTTATATATTGTTGATATTAACTTTTTATCAAGTTACAAAGTCAGATCGTAGGTTGTGTACAGAGATCATCGTTGTATATAATTAAGGCGTATGCAAACATTTAAAAAAAAATACTATATGTTAACATACGCCTTACGTAATATTACTATTACTTTCCCTGTTAAACATCGTTTCCAGGGTTTATGATAACCACTATAACATAAGACCGCCCTATTAAAGCGATCACAGAAACATACCTGTATACGATGGCTGTGCATATCTGATACTATGATGTGTCCTTGAGGATTGACGGCTACATAACAAGGGTAACTTAGCTCGCCGTTACTGTCTCCAAATGAACCAAATTTGAAAGACTGACCTAAAAGAAGAAAAAATTGATAACATTGGAATAGCTCCATCATCGCCCTTACAATCTGTTAAAGCCTTTACGCTCTTTCATCGCTCTCCCTCATCGCCCTTATGCTCCCTCATCGCCCCTTCATCGCCTTTACACTTCGTACCACCCGTTAGCTCGGTCACATCGCCCTTACAATCTGTTAAAGCCTTTACGCTCTTTTATCGCTCTCCCTCAACGCCCTTATGCTCCTTCATCGCCCTTACACTCCGTACCACCCGTTAGCTTCCCTCACCACCCTAACGCTTCCTTGTGATCTTAGCTCATCCTCAGCGCCCTACGCTTATCGCCAGTTATTGCAATAAAACATTGAACATTAAAAACCAAACGTTTGAAGATCACGTTAAGGCAGGGCCAATCAAATCTTACCAGTATCAAGAGAAATCACGTGGATACAACGATTAGCGGAATCTGCCACAACAATTCGTCTATTTTCGTCAACAGCCAAGGTAGAAGCTTTTAGATCGGGAACATGGAACTTGTGTTGGAACATACCATCACGATCAAATAACTAATCGAAGAAAGAAATTTATCATGTGTTGTACTGAAAAACTATTCAAAACTGTTAACAGTTTTAGCGCACACTATTAGTCTTTACCTGTATTCTAGAGCTTAGTCTTTCGCAAACAATAATTCTGCCTTCAGGATCGATGCCAACACCGGTTGGACATTGAAACTGGCCATTTCCGTCCCCCTTGCGACCAAATTGGAATATAAATCCTCCTTGTGAGTTAAAAACTTGCACGCGGTGATTGTGACAATCAGTAACAATAATTCTGTTTTCATCATCAACTGCAACACCAAAAATCCCATTGAATTCACCGACATCTGATCCCTTCCTTCCAAACCGAACAAATGTTTCGGCGCCGCTTGTGACGTTCACTTTAAACGGGCTTCCTTGAATGTGCTTGTCTCGTACCGTAACTGACACCTGTAACAACATCAATTAGTGACAACGCTGAATAGACAAAACACTGTGATATGACGTAATAAACCCCTGCTACCCCACCACTAAATCCGAATATATTGAAATAGTCTCCTTCACGGTTACCTGCGCCATCTTGAAAGGTAACCGTTGAGCGTGCAATGATAGAAACCTTCTATCACACCGACAGGTATCGATCATTGCACGCTCAACGGTTGTCTCGCTTCGATATAAAGGCACGGCTACCTTTCAAGATGGCGCAGGTAACCGTGAAGAAGACTATTCCATGAGTAATGTGGCTGATAGAAAAACGACATATCGTTTCTTTTAAACAAATGACGTTTACTTGTATAGACGTCGCACGCACTGTGACATACATTGCCGTAGCTGGTTGTTCGTATGGAGGATAAAGTTATCCACCGGTAAATGTTATCCACTCAGTAAGATGTTGCATGGATTTGATCTCCTGGATAAGGATTTACCCGGTAGATATTCACCTCTCCTACAACCGTCCCACCCTGTTGTGTGACTCAAAGTGTGTTACGTGGTACAGTACAGTATGCATACTACAGTGATACATAGGGCATGACGTGCTGCACACCCATATACCTCTCTATCCTTCACCTTGTGCATCCCACTGCTTTGTGGTGTATATGAAACACCATACGAACCGTTGCGATGGTCGTCAACCTGAACAACAACAACACGAACAACTTTATTTTACCATCAAAACAAACAACATTTGATAAGACATCAAGCACAACAACTTAAAGTTATAAACATAAAATCATTTCTACACTACAGTTCAGGAGAAAGTTTGAAATAAGTAGACAAGATGATTTATCACATAGGATGCAAATTGTATGAAGAACGCTTAATAATGCATTTATTGGGATGATTACAACAGATGATCACGATACTTGCACTGATGATGAAAAGATGGATGATTACTGATAACAATACATGTACTGATGTTTATGAGTCATGCGTGGCCATTGTTGAAGCCAGTAAGACAGTAAGAACAATTCCTTCAGTCTTTAAGTCACGTGACGTCTACGTGAAAGAAAATGTTGATCCTGGTGCGATCAAGCGAATGAGAGGAGATTGGCCAAGCCAAACGACCAGTGCTTAGTGCTCAAGTGCACGCTCGACCTGATGGCTTTCTGGATCGGCAATGCTGGCCAATGACAAAGGAATAGAAGAAAGAGTCAAGTCGAAGAAAGGCTCGATATTGCACATGCTCATGGAAGATATGCAGTGTTAGTGTTAGATTGCATTTAGCTAAAGCAACTTGAGTGACAAATGCGTTTTTGAGTATAGTTAGTATTACGATGATGCATCAGAATCAATAATTAACTATTAATAACATTAATTTAAAAAAACAATAACAATAATCAGAATTGCCGCAGCAATCACATGCTGTATATACCAAATAAAGCAAAGAAAATGCAATCCATTTAGCTGCAAAGTTGCAATAACAAGCGATTATGCGAACAAGCAAAAGATATYGATGCATASCAGAAGATGCATCTAGAACAAGCTGAAAAACAATGARGTCATATCACGATAAAGCACAAAATATACAACAAAACCCAAGAAACAATAGCAATAGAACTGAGATAAACCCCGCCGCGATCCAAAGACAGCAGAGAAGAGCAGGCAAAGCGGCGTTCAAACAACAAAAACCGAAACAAAGATCGGCACACAGGATGCTAACATTTTGTGAGGTTTGTCGAGTAAGACGCTTGGAGTACTCAGAACCAAGTTGTTGTTGTTGTAGTTGTTGCCTTACTTCAGCAGGAACTGTTCTCCCATCTGATGAGTACACGTCAACCATAACGTCTTCACCGCCACCAGAACACGGATTTCCCATGTGATCACTAAAAGAAATCAAGATTAATGGCTTGTACAACCACTTCTCATACGAGTACAACGATTGTGATGAACAAGTTGATAACCCAGAATCAATCCAGAATCAAAGCGTGTTATAACATTATAAGCTAAGAATAGATTTCTGACTAGATTCAAACCATGTGATTTTACTCTATCTAGCTGTCAAAGTAATCAACATGAGTAGTGATAACAGTTAAGGTAAACAACGTAAAAAGACAAGAAAATTACAACAGTGAACATTATTACGTGGGCTTCCTGTGGAAGACCACGTCTAAAAATGCAATTGGACTTTTGTTCTCCGTGTTCTTCGTGAATATTTGGCTTCAAATTGGTAGCGCCTGCGTTGCAGATGGTCTGCAGTTTTAGTTTCCATCTTTTCCATGGGGATGTCAAAACTAAACCAATCCTCGCTTACTTTCATTTTTGACAAAGTCTTACTAGTTACACTTTTTAAATTTGTCTATCAACCATCAGAACAATGGATACAACATACCGTGTCTGTACAGTAAATTTAGATGTTCGTCCTTTGATAGCTCGTGTTGGAGCGTCATTGACTGAACTCATGTTAGGAAAAGCCTGACTTGTCTTGATTTGTCCAAGGTTTTCAATGGCTCGAATCACCTCGTCCTGGTTACCAATGAAATATATCGTATCGTTTTCCTCTGGTTCGCCTTGAAACTTGGCAGTGATCAGTTCGTTAAGCCGRTCACACAGTTGTTTCTTGACAACAAGGATTTCAACTGAATTTCCGTGCCGAAGAACTTGTTCTGSGGAGAAAATACAAGTAAAAGTTWAATTTCYTGGATTRCATTTTTGTAGTGTTGACCTCATTTTGTRTGATCGTAAGTACTCTCGGTAAACAAGCAGTGTTTTTACTTCATTCATTCATACACCCTTTCATTCATTTATTTTATTTTCTCTCTTCTCTTTTTCTTCCCCTTTCTATGTTTAGTCCATCATCCATACCCTTAAAAGTTTCGGATCAAGTGTTACACAACAATAGATTAATGGATTGTATGATATCTTATACTATGTTTCTCATTTTCTTCTTCATTCATTCATATACCCTTTCATTCATTTATTTCATTTTCTCTCTTCTCTTTTTCTTCCCCTTTCTATGTTTAGTCCWTCRTCCATACCCTTAAGAGTTTCGGATCAAGTGTTACATATGATATCTTATACTATGATATTGCTAATTGTAGTCTCCTCGCAGCCGTTCTTAGTGGCGGGCTCCCTGTCCCCTGCCGCCATGGAGCCCGCCACTAAGAACGGCTGCGAGGAGACTATGCTAATTGCTATTACCAGTAAAGGTGCACGTGATRCTGAGTTTCTTTAACTCGTTTTCCAGTCGTTCTTGCTGCAGACTCAGCACGTTTGACTTCTTTCTCATGATATTCTCAACTTCATTCATCATGGACTTTTCTCGTTCTTGTAAAATCTATAATACAACATTACAACACCATAAAATATCATTATAAACTAAATAACCTTGACCATTAAAACGTATTTTTAGTTAAGTAATGACGCAACCAAGAGTGAGGTTGCAATCTCTAAAAGAAAGTGGGATTTTTTCTGTGTTATTTTTTTTATATCGATGGTCATTAGTCTTTGGAATTCCTACGAAAAATGCTACAACCAAGCAWTATTTTCTTGGACAGATTGTGAAGAATTTTTGATTTGTTTACGATGCATCAGTAAATCAAGTTATTAATCATGGAGCGATATTCATAGCCAACTTTAATATAAAATAACATCATTTATAGGTAAACTTAGTACTAACGATCACACGGTTACCTTCAATATCCTGGGAAAACATTTTTGTACTTCTGACTTAGCRACTTCAGCTCTAGCTTCCAGTCTGCACGTGACTTCCTCGACGTCTTTGGTTGACTGTTCGACTACAGGGATTTTCCGTCGTAGCTTGTCGACGAGCTGAGTGATAGAGGAGGTCTGTTTGTCGATGGTGTCCGTTARTTGYGTGTATTTATGATTTCCTGTAGAATGCGTTGTCATTGTACATTCCCGACAAATTGCCTGTTCGCAGGTTTCACAGAAGTACCTGAATTRAGAACGATTATTGATCTTAGMAACACGGTRSYAATACTGCCCAWGAAATGAGGTGTGCCGTTATWCAGTAGGAATAATATCTCCATSAACCTTGTACGCAATAACAAATCTATCTCAGTTTAGCTTCTTTGCATTTATTAGGRCCAGTTTAAATTCTATATCAATTATTTTTGTACATCGTGTATTTTACAAAAGGAACGAAAACTTTTGGTACTGACCGGTGATAAGATTTTTTCCGGGAAAAAATTGTTATTCGAATGGGTCAGCCATTCTCATCTAAAAAACACCGAATTCTGAATCAAAACAATAACAGCATGAATACTATTTCACAGTCATAACAACTGTCTACGCTTTGTTCACAAAAGTAGCGTATGACGCATTAAATTTGCTAATGGAGGAGTTGGTAAAACTGAGGGGGGTTATACCGAGATTCTTTAAAAGGAGTACTTAATTATGCGAACGTTACGATGAGTTTGTTATACATGTATATTTTTTTAGGGTTTTATGCTGTACGGTAATGTAGAATTTATATTATCTATCAACACAAAAGTCTGTCGATAAGCYTCGTCGATGTAGCTTCGGCTACATTTTGTACTTTCTACTTCTGTCGATAAAATCCAAATAATAGTTTTTTTACTTCATGAAGATCGTCGTCACAAATGCATGCTTTGTAATGTGTCGCCTAGAATCGATTATTATTGTAGCGCTAACTAAGTTGATTTATGCGTTCACGGGAGTTCACGTGTATAGCGATGGGCTCATYGTAAACTACTCCTCTCTAACTCATGCTACAATCATGTACCCAGAAAATTAAAAAAAAATACAATTATTCGGCCATGGACACACAACTCTAAAATTGTTTAATAGTAAAGGACACATATGTGGCTGTCAACGCTTTGTAAAAAAGTAGCATATGACGCATTATTATTATTTTTTTTGAGATGGTAAACCTGAGGGGGTTATACCGGGATTTTTTAAGAGTACTTTTTATACGCGAAACTGAACTGCATGTCTGGAGGAGAAAGATGAGTTAGCGACATATACATTTTTTGAGGGTTTTTGCTGTACGGTAATGTAGAATTTTTTTATATTACATATCACCACAACAGCCTGTCGATAAAAGAAAAGAAAACAGTATTTTGTTTTGCTTCATGAAAAAGCATGCTTTGTAATGTGTCGTCCGGTAATTATTGTAGTGCAAATCAAGTTGATTTATGCATCCACGTGTAGCGATGGACTCATCGTGAACTACCTCCTCGCTAACTCACGTTGGCTTCACGTTACAATTATGTATCCAGAAAATAAACAAAACAATTCATCCAATGGCCACACAACTCGAAGATCGTTTCATAATATAGTAAACGATAAAAATGTGGATGCAA